TATAAATTAGTGCAAAGTTCCCCACCCACCCAATTTTTGCTCATTTTTTCCCAAAAATTTCTAACAGAATGGTAGAACATTTGAAAAAATGTATGTCAAAGCACCTTTTGAAAACATTGTTCACTAAGGTTGGGACTTCCAAATTAGCTTGATTTTTAAAACCCATGAAAGAGCCTCTTCCTTTCAATTTTGGGGTCATTCATGGCTTTCTGATTGAGAACATCTGAAACCTGTACAATTGGGGATCCTGAAAAAGCGGGAGCCAAAACTTACAGATTTCTAATGAATTTCTTCTATCAGGTAACCTCTATTTGATAATATTTGTAAGCTCTTTCCCCTCCTGTCATTGCCTTGCCTCCTTCAACCCTCGTGCTCTCCTGTTATTTTCTTGCTACACACCCTGTTCTTCACCCCTCTCCTCTCATTTCCTCATTACTGCAAACCCAGTAATTCTTCCCCTGAAATGAAAATATCCTGAAGAAAAAAAGAAAGTAACATGTGTGGCTTCTATACCACTGCATAACGCTTCAAGCACTCTCTGGGCGGTTTATGAGTTAATTATGCAGGCTACACATTGCCCCCATGCCAGCGAGCTGGGTACTCATTTTGCTGACCTCGGAAGGATGGAAAGCGGAGTGAACCTTGAACCAGCTACTTGGGATTGAACCCCAGGTTGTGAGCACAGTTTTGGGTGCAGTACAATAATACACGGCTCTGTGAGGCTCCTGAAAGATTTGGGTGTTTTCAGATTTACCGACAGGCTTGATACCTATAAAAAAAATGCCCAAATGAAAGAGGAGCCATCTGAAAGACCCTGAAACGAAAGCAAAACAGCCACGAACTCACCCATTCATCCCTAGTGTTCCACTATTCGAACAGAGAAACTTTGTTTCTGCTGGTTGTGTTACTTCTGAAATTCAATAATGAGAAATGTAACCTCTCTTGACAAGATGTTCCAGAGCCTGGGTGCAGCTACTGAGAGGGTATCCTTCATGACTGCATCCAGGCCATGCAATTCCTGCCGCCAGGGGCTATATTTAGCCCTCCCTCTCCTTCCGGCACTTGGCAAATACCTTTTTATTTAGGAAGACCTTCGGCAGTTAAGAAACCCCAGTGATAAGATTGGAGCTGATGAGCTACTTTTCAGTGTTTGAGATTAAATATTATTACTGTCTTTAATTATGTGGTTTTGAAGAGTTTTAGTTTTAATTACTTTTTAATGGTACAATTGACTTCAATTCTATTTTTAATATTTGTGATTTTATTGTATTTTAATCTTCTCTTCTTTCAGATGTTCTATAAGCTGCACTGGGTCCCAATTTTGGGAGAAAGGCAGCATAATAATAGCATTGCATCATCAAAATCTAAACACTAACTAGTTACATGTAACTATATTATTTACAAGTTATTTCCACAGTCTGGTTTGAACTGTTGTCCTGTTTTAGTCTATTTTAAAGCACCCATTGAAAGTGTTGCAAGTAAATAAACGGGACATGTTTTTGTGTTTCACTTCAGACTGCTGCCCTGTCTTCCTGTCACTGCAACTTTGGGACCAGTGTGATTGTGGGAGTACCTCCTTCAGCATCTGAAATTGCTTTTGATCCATTGTTGCTTTTCACAGGTCGTACCTGGAAAGGATCTGTGTTTGGAGGTAGAGTGACAAGCTTGTTCAAAAATAAAAATGGTATGGCAGACAAATAATATTATTATTATTTTCAAAAAGATCACTGAGGACATGACAATTGTCTCTGTGTGTCTGTGTGAGGTATTTCTGCGTTATACACTGAATCTTTCAAACAATACATGAACTAAAGTTCTGAAAGAATCGTGCACACAAGGATGTCAAAGCCAAAGCTCCATCAGACCAAACCATTCCATGCCACAGTCTGAAGAATTTTTTTAAAATGGCAAGGCTGTTCCTTGTCAAGGATGACTCTAACATTTGAAGAGTAGATTCTGCATAGCCTAGAAGTTTGTATACATATGCAAAATTATGCAATTATCCATGAATTTTGTACTTCTTAAGGCTATAAACAGCTCAACTAAGCAGCTGAAGATGTGAGGAGGAAGAGGGAAAGGTGCAGATTCATGGCTCAGGAAATGAAGCCCAACTGAAAGATGTGCCAGTTACACCAACGAATGCAGGCTCTTATAATTGGCAAAAATACTGTATTTTTCCATTTATAGGATGCCCCCGTGTATAAGACGCCTCCCCACTTTTCTAACCCAAAATTAAGAAATCGAAGTGGGGCTTAGCAAGTGTAGGGGGAAAGGGATCAAAGCAATCCCGCAACTGCACAATCATTTTGATCCCTTTCCCCCTTCTACAGCCACAGGATTGCTTTGATTCTTTCCCCCCTCCTTTTGTTAAACCCCATGGGACTTAGCAAGCAGAGGGGAAAGCAGGGATCAAAATGATCCTGAAGCACTCTGATTCCTGCTTTCCTTTTGCTAAGGATTAGCAAGTGGATGGGAAAGCAGAGATCAAATCCCTGCAGGAACAATTTGATCCCTGCTTCCCCTCCACTTGTTTTTGTACTCTCCTCAGCTTACTTCCGTGTATAAGATGACCCTCAATTTTTAGTCAAACGTTTTTAGACAAAAGTATAGTCTTATACGTGGAAAAATACGGTAGGCTATTGTGCAGCCCACCCTGACTGTACTGCCTCTTGGTGACCAGCTATTCTGCTTCACAGAGTAGATGTCTAATCCATTGAGAAGGGAAAACCAAAGATAAGTAGGAGGTATCTATGTTTTGTGAACCAAAGAAACTAGTGAGGCTTCACAGGATTGTAACGTAGCATTAAATAAACTCTGATTTGCAGGGGTCTCAGACTTCTCCCACCATTGATTTCACAAGCTGTGCTGACCTTGTTTTGTTGGTTCCTTCTGACTGTTCTTTACTGATTTTCAGGCTGGAAAAGCAAAGATGCTGTTCCTAGACTGGTTTCCGATTTCATGGGGAAGAAATTCATTCTTGATCCATTGATAACTCACACGATGCCTTTTGAGAAAATCAATGAAGGATTTGATCTGCTCCGGTCAGGAAAAAGGTGGTACTTGCTTGTTTACTTGCTTTCTTTCTCCATACTTGTACATTAATTTGACTGTAGGGCAGTTTGTTGGGCTACTAATCCATCAGGTTTGCAACCAGGCCTAGTTGAGTTGATGCTTCCATATGAGTGGTGTATGGAGGAGAAAGAGTTCTGATTCTGTTCAGTAGCAGAATCAGAACTAAGAGAAGTTACCTATTGAAGTGCAGCCTGCAGAATCTCCAAGCCATTTGGCGGGCTCATCCAAAAAGTGACTTTTCCAAACTCTTGCGTGTAGACAACCAAGCTCAACATCCTTTACCTATAGCTTTAAAAGGGCCAAGTAGCAGATGATGAGAAAGAACTTTGCTAAAAAACCCTGAAGATCAGCCCCCAGTGAAAGGATCAAGCTTGGTGGATAAACAGTTTGACCTGGTATTAAAGCCAGCTCAAGATACTGGCTGTCTGATGCAAAGGATAAAGAACCACCTGGTCCCATTTTCATCTGATCCCATCTACAAAAGCCAGACAGGCAGGCAGCTGGATCTTATTTCTGCACTGCACATAGGAGAACTTCCTCCTCCTTTATAGCCATGGGCAGCAGCCTTGTTAAGGGGAAATGGAGCAGATCCAATGCTTTCCTCTCCATGCCTGTCAGCATCACCTGAGCCAGTTGCTTCTATTTGACTAATGGTAGGGCCAGCCCCTATGCTTCTTCAGCCCACAGCAGTAGTTGGTTGAAATAGAATATTTCCATCACTGTCAAGACTTATATATTATTCATGTGTGGATGCCAGTTTGAACAAAGGATGACACCACGCAAGTCCAGAGGTTGCCTTTTACATGCTTAAGAAGATGACAGCTCTCCCTGCATGCATACAAACAAAGTGTCCATTCTCCTCCTTTAGTGGTTCAGACTAGACTAGTGGTTCCATTTCCTAACCTCACGTGTCCAGATGTTTTGAGACTACAGGTTCCAGGGGTACTTGAATTGTAGGTTTCCTAGCCAGTGTGGCTAATAGTCAAGGATTATGGACTAGATGGTTTGAAAATGCAGGTACTGTTTAATAAGCAGAAGAAAACTGATGTTGTTTGAGAAGATAGTGTAGGGGGAAGAGAATAACATTTGCCTCCCTTGGGTTCCCTACATTGGAAGAAAGCAAGCAAGTAAGTAAATCCTCTGCCCCTGCCATGGATTCAGAGACTGGAATATCTGCACCTACCATTTTTATTGCCCCAGATTGAAAGCCAAGAACAGGAAGGGAGGCTAGAGAGGAATTTTAACACCCTTCTACCAGTGTGGTTACAATCCATTTGTTTCACTATATCAAATTTGAGCTACAAAAATGGGACACAAGACTCAGATCCAGATTGTGACGTGGTGGCGCTGTGAGTTGAACCACTCAAACTTCTATGCTGCAAAGTCAGAAGACCTGCAGTCATAAGATCGAATCCATGCGACGGAGTGAGGCCCTGTTGCTTGTCCCAGCTCCCACCAACTTAGTGGTTCGAAAGCATGTAAATGCAAAAATGCAAGTAGATAAATAGGTACCACCTCGGTAGGAAGGTAAATGGCGTTCCGTGTCTAGTCACGCTGGCCACGTGACCATGGAGGATTGTCTGTGGACAAACGCTAGCTCTATGGCTTGGAAACGGGGATGAGCACCGCCCCCTAGAGTTGGACACGACTGGACAAATTGTCAAGGGGAACCTTTACCTTTACTAAAATTCCTCTCTAGCCACCTACCTTGTACTTGACTTTCGATCTGGACTAGATAATAATCTTAGTATTACAGAGCTGGAAAGAACCCTATGGAGTCCAGCCGCTGTCAAGGAAGCACGGGGGGAAATTGATCCCAACCTCTAGCTCTGCAGCCAGATACTTAAACCACTGAGTTACCCCCTTACTCTTGTTTCTGTTCTTACTCTCTAAGAACAGAAACAAAAGATGTAACTACCAGTGGCATCTTACAAATACTGTGTGGTTTGGCACTATTCCTCCCTTCACCAAGAACAAATTTGACCTGGACAATGTTAAGAGCTCTGTTTGAATGCCTGGAATCTGGGACTCTTAAATCTCATTTAAATATCTCTTTTTTGTTTGTTTGGCTTTCAGCATTCGCACTGTCTTGACCTTTTAAGATTTTGGAGCGAGAAAAAAGATGACGGAATAATCACCGAAGTCCGAAGCACCAGAACTGCAACCTTTATAATCAGTAGTATTCATGGCTGTTATTGTTTCTTTCTTTCTCTTCTTCTACCCTCATGTTTACATGAAGAACCAAATGGAAGAATGTCTCTTGTCATGACGTTCAGCATTGACCAGATGATGGCAAAAGGCCATCTCTTTCTGCCAAAAAATTATCTTGTTTTGCTGAAATATTTTCTGCACAATGATCTCTCTTTGTTTCCAAATAAAGCTACTGAAATCACAGTTCTCCAGTGTTCAGAGGCTTGCCATACACATGATTTTCTTTTTTAGTACTGTTGTTTGTTACCAAACAAAGAATGGCATATTGTGGTGGACTAAGAAGGAATCCATAGCACGGATGACTCTAGAGCAACATGGAATTTGAGTTAAGATTGCATATACACCCATAGGCTGCTTATAGGCAGTGACTCTATTTAATGCACAAAGTCCCTGGGCTTCAAGTCCTTTCCCAGCAGATTCCATAAGGCAAGCATTATATGCGTATAGAACTGGATGAGTATGCAAATTTGTTCCTCTCTTCATATAAACGAGGACATTCATCAGCCTACAAACTATTTATTTATTTATTCAATTTATATCCCCCCCCCCATCTAGACCGAAATCTGCTCTGGGTGGCTAACAACACAACATTAATACAATTGAAAATAACAAATAAATTAGGTATTGACAGGAGGGAAGGCCTGCCTAAAGAGCCAGGTCTTGTGTTGCCTCTTAAAAACACCCAGAAAGGCAGCCAGACAAATTTCTGGGCGGAGAATGTTCCAGAGGGGAGGGGCCACTGCTGAGAAGGCCCACTTTTTTGTTGTTTCTCTTCATGCCTCCCTTGGCGTTAGGCCCCTCAACTGCCCACCTGGACTAAACCGAGTGATTTGGGTAGATCTAGGTGGGAGGAGGCATTCCGCCAGATACTGAGGTCCTAAACCGTTTAAGGTTTTATATGTCACCATTAGTACTTTGAAATCAATGTGGAAATGAATGGGCAACCAGTGCAGGGCAGCCAGAGAAGGGGAGATATGTTGATGTTTTCTCACTCCAGTAAGAAGTCTGGCCTCCACGTTCTGCCCCATTTGAAGCTTCCATATCAATATCAAAGGTAGCCCCATGTAGAACACATTACAGTAGTCTAATCTCAAGACTACAAGCGCATGGACCAGAGTGGTGAGGGGCCCCACATCAAGATAGGAATATAGCTGGGCAATCTGCCAAAGATGGAAATAGATGGTACGGACCACTGATGCTACCAGGGTCTCCATGGTAAGCGCCAGATCAAGATAGACCCCCAGACAGTGAACTGAATTCTTTGTGGTGAGAGTCACCCCCCAAAAAGAGAGGGAATTGTAAGCAGAATAGTCACATGCTCAAAATTAAGATTTTTGAGATGCATGGTGGCAGCCCATCATGACAAGTACTACAAAGCTTTCAGAATGGAGGCCTGCTTACAACACGTGCCACAGCTGGCACACGGAGCCCTCTCCATGGGAACATGAGCCATAAGTCACCATAGAGAAATACTGACCCATCCTCCCATCCCGGATTTCGGCACTCCTCTCTGCTGCTGCAGTGGTCCAGAAGAGGGGTGCAATGGTGACCATTACCAGTCTAGCCCAATGGGGGATTGGAGGACCAGTAAGTATTTATTTGTTAATACTGTCCAGGGGGGAGGGGACACAACCAAGCATTTAACCCTTGCAGTGCAGGAGTTGTTTTTTCTAAACTAAAACCTCAACATTCGGGTTTTAATTGCAGTATTGGCACTTTGAAATAAATAAGTTGATTTGTGTTGCAGTTTGGGCACTCTGGCTCAAAAAGCTTCACCAACACTGCACTAGGCGCTTAGAGGCAGCCACTGCCCTCAAGCAGCAGATTTTGCTATACCAGTGTATTTTTGCCATCTATCCCTGGCATGCATCCACATGAATTTCCAAATCATCTCCAAATCATTGCCCATCTCCATTTCCTCGGTTGTGGTACTGACATGAGAGGTTGGACTCGAAGCTTCTTTGAAGTGGCATATTTTCCCCACTTGTACTCTGCAAGGAGCTGTCCATGGAGTGCTCATGGTGTTGATGATGAAGATGAGGCTTGCCAGGTCTCAGAGAATGAGCTGCTGTGCCAGGAAATGGCTGGGCTCCCCTGAATCTCCAGGCAAAGCAAACAAATGTGAGGGGCAGTGGTGGAAGGGAAGGAGCGAGTCTCGTTTATTGTGGCCATAGTGTTTGGGTACCCAACCCCAACCCTCTCCGAATGGCACCAGGGCTCACTGGCTTCCTGTGTCTGCTTAGGAGCTCAGACAAGGAACTTAACAATGCCTAGCTCACTCTCTCACACATGCATTGAGAAATATTATGTTCCCAATTCCTGTGACTTCACAAAGACCCACCCCAGGCATTGGGCCCCAGATATAATGAGGGGATGGGGAAGATAATCCCGTGACAGCCCGACAAACAAGACAACACTTCAAAACCATTCTGGAAAAATTATTTTATTGGTTTTGGAAAAGAGACTAAATGGGTATCCTCAGCAGAGACAACGGCCTGGTTCAGCTCCAGCAGGATGCCTGCCTTCTGCTCCCTCACTTCCCCCTGGGGAAGAGGAAGCTTCGGGCCCTGCAAGAGAAAGAGAGAAAAACAACTAAGGGGTGAGCTTGTCCACTGCTGTCAACCAGCTTCAACCCAGGCGTATCCACCAACCAATGTTCTGGCAACTTCATCCCGAAGCTCTGCCTGCCAACATCCTTTGGCTTCCACCAGGAATATCTACCCGTTCATTTCTACTCCACTTCTGAAGCCAGCCTTCGCCAGCTCCCGAATGCTAGGATCATGCACATGCCCTGACGAAATCCCCACGGAACGCCAGCCAGCCCATTCACACACACATTCACACACACACACCAGCCACTCCCCAATACACGCACACACACCTTCACTCCACCAGCCATTCACACACACCTGGGCTTCCATCCCCCGATATCCACCAAGCTTCCGCCAGCTGGTTTCAGGAGGCTAACTTCCACCGGCTTCATCCGCCAACCTCTGCTGGCCTCCACCTTGTAACATCAGCCAGCTTCCGTCGGCAGGGTTCCAGCAGATTCTGTCCACCAATGTCCACAGACTTCCCCCCAGTCCATCGCCGACATCAGCCAGCTTGAAACCATAGATCTCTGCCAGCTCAAGCTGTTAACTCGCAAGCCCACTTAGCAAGTTCAGAACTTGTCTTGGGTAGAAGGGCTGCATCCCCTGCAGCTGCTGCTGCCACTCTCTCTGCTGGGCTACCCTCTGGCCACTGGCCTCCCCTCTGGTCTCCTGCCCTGCCCAGCAAGCCCCTTTTATCTGCCAGCAGAGAGGTGGGGCCCCTGTGAGGTCACAAAGACCCAGGAGGATGGGGTTGTGTTCCCTAGGCGACAGCAGCACCCTCAGGATTGGCTGAGTCTTGAAGATGATGTCAACAGTCCCTCTGATCATGTGATTCACCCAGAAAAGCTTGCATTTTGCATGATTTTTTTAAAATATTTTTTTAATTAGTGGCCTATAAATGTATCCAATGTCACCAATCCCTCTGATTGTTAAATCCCCCCATGTTCTTCTAGATCTTCTGTTAAAAGAAGTTGGGACTTGTTTAGGCTTGTGTAACGGAATCCAAAATATGACATCATCCCTGTCTGTCAATCAGAGGATAGAGCAAGAGGGGCGGAGTCAGAATGACAGTTAAGACAGCTGGAAGAGACAGTTAGGGAGGAATTGGAATCACATAGGGATAGAGAGAGTCAGGGACTAGAAGTTATTGAGAGAGTGTTAGGGTTTAGGAATAGAGTAGAGGGGTTAGGAAAGAGAATTGAACAGTTTACATCATATTGAACAAGCAGGAATGAACGCATAAACATAATATGAGTAATACCAGTGATTGAATACATGATTTAATATAATTGAACACCTGAAACAGTTATATTTGATTCTCCTTATAATTTTTGTTCATTAATAAAAGAATGTTTGATCAAATCCCCTGATTCCAAAGTATATGAGCAGCTCCTATGTGTGTGGGACTTGAATTGGTATTAGAATAATACCTGGTGGCAGCGAAAAGGGCGAGTTTACCTTTGTGGAGAAATAAGGGACCACAAGGGGGATCGCCACAGCTTGCGCTCATCTTTGCACACAACTCTGACGTCAAGTAGACGTCCCTGGTCCACGGCCTGTACTGGTCTGTGGACTTGGCAAGACCTGTCTGCAGAGACAGATCTCCTGCCCCCTGCATGCACAGATGCACAGACACCCCCACATGCACACATGCAAGCTGCCCCACACATGGACGCGCAAACACGTGCATGCATGGATGCACACATGCCACCCCACACCCACCCACACCCATGCACGCACACACAGATGGACACACTCCCACCAAGCACAAATGCACGCATGCCCCCGCATGCATACATGGATGCCCCCATGCAAGCACGCATGCCCCTGCCCCCCGCACATGCACAGACGTACTCCCACATGCATATACGCACACATAGACTCACCCCCTGCAGCCTCCACCTGCATGCTAAACTGGTCCACTGTGCCAAAAAAGGCTGGGGATCATTGAAGTACAGTGGGGCCTTGATTTACAAACATCCATACTTACGAAAAATTCGAGTTACAAAAAGCTCTGGCCGCAAAATTTTGCTTCGACTTGTGGCTGGAGCTTCCAGTTACGAACAGAAAAAGGCAGGGGAATTCAAACCATTGGTGGCAAAGAGGCTGCTTCCAACACTGCCCCAACCACTGCGCTGGGTGCCAGTGCTTTGGAAGCCTGGGAAGCTGGCACCCAGTGAGGCAATCAGTGCCAGTTTCCCAGACTTCCAAACCCCCTCCACTGCTCTCTGCCACCCATCCCCATGGAGACGGGAGGTAGAGGGCAGTGGGGACAAGGCAGAGGGCAGTGGGTGCAGCTTTCGAAGCCCGGGAAGCCGAAAGCCGCCCTGACCTCCGTGACGGTTGCTGGCTTCCCGGGCTTCCAAACCCCCTCTGCTGCCCTCTGTCTCCCATCCCTGCTGCCCTCTGCCTCCCATCTCCATGGGGACGGGAAGTAGAGGGCAGCGGGGACAGGAGGCAGAGGGCAGCAAGTGCAGCTTTGGAAGCCTGGGATTTTTTTTCTTTCGCCAGGATGGATTAATTGATTTTCAATGCATTCCTATGGGAAATGGTGCTTTGACTTATGAAATTTTAGAGTTATGGCCACTGGTC